CTTCCCCCGAAAATCAAAAGCCATTTTCTCTCGAGCCGTCTCGAACCTTTCGCTGTTTGTGGGGTGTAGGCTGTGTAGACTGTAGACCTTTTTTCCGGTCAGGACTGCGCCTTGACGCTCGCAGCACCAGCCCTTCTTGTGATCCGACCATCCAAAGTACCTCGATCCAACGGGCGATGCATCTTCAGATCCAAAGCAATGCATCGTTGGATCCGATGTTTCTTGCAGGACCGGTGCTGATAGAGGGCCTGTAGCGGCAATGAACTTCCTAGAGGAATGATGGAGGAGGTCAGGTAATGAGAGCCCAAAAAATTTGCTAGAAAGATTGCCGTACCAAAGTCCCTCGTTTATTAATATGAATGCATCGGGAATATATATATCTTATTTATAAATTGTTCTATGGCAGTTTATATTTTATATTTCTATCATCAATAAACTGCCATAACTTAAGTGAATTAATATCTATTTTTACTTATCTCTTATTTCTACAGGATTTTACAATAGACGGGTGGTCACGGCTGTAAAAATAATATATATATATATTAATGAATTAATATCTGCCATTTATATAAAAGATACCATAAATAATAAATGGCAGATATCCTTGAATAATAATCGTTTATATATCTACGAATGAATTTTATATAGAAAATAAAGGACAATTAAAATAAAATTCATTGGTATTCATCTTTTCTAATTCATGGAATCCTTCATTTCTATTTTCCCTTTGTATTTTAATGAAGGATTCCCTGGTGTTTACTTATTTCTTTATCTGTGCGGCAATATATTTTAAAGCCGCTTATTTTAATTCGGGGCACCAATTGGAGTAGCCACTGTGGCAATCGTAGGCGAAGTGATGGTGATGGATCACTGGTCGTGGAGGTGGCGGTGGCGGTGGCGGGGCCTGCACATTCATGTAGACGACCTAGGTTGCGTCTGACCGAAAAAACCGTGTAGAACATCTCAGCCCACTGTTTTTCGTTGACAGTTGTTCACAGTTCACTGTGGCGAGGCTAAAAGCAACAAACACCTTAAAACCGCCCAGTCACCTGTTGATGATGCTGCTCGAAAGGTTTGCAGCCCCTGCCCTGTTCAGCGCAGCACCAGGCAGCCCGGTTGGCATCCCACATCACTTGCCAATTCTCATAGTCCGTGATGCAGTCAGGACCCGTCGGGGCAGCTGCTGGGCGTGGCCAAAGCCACCAGGCCAACAATCCAGCCCTTGGCAGAGCAGTCATAGCCCGGGGCGGTCCAAACGATTTGTTTCGCACAACGAAGGCCAAAGAAGATACAACAGCATGTACCAGCATCGTCCACGTGATTTTAACCTGCATTCGCATTTTGTATATATGTATGTTCGCACTCTTGCAATAATAGTATATAGTATAGTATAGTAGCCACTGTCGCTGGAGCCATCAAAGCAGCGCAGTTCCGGTAGCAGGTGCTATGGTAGTAGCAGCACTGTGGCTACTAGTACGCAGTATAGTTCTTGCAGATTCTAGTAGGCGTAGTAAATGTAAAACCGTCGTCGTCGTAGTAGTGTTGGTGGTGGTGGTTGCAGTAGTATAGTAGTGGTTGTAGTAGTAGTAGTGGTGGTGGTAGTGGTGGTAGCAGTAGTGGTAGTAGTAGTAGTAGAAGCAGAAGTAGTAGTAGTAGTAGCAGTAGTAGTAGCAGCAGCACAAGCAGCCAGCAGGAGCAAGAGGAGGAGTAGGAGAAAAAGCAAAAGTAAAGTAAGAGTAGCAGCAGTAGCAGTAGCAATAGCAGCGGCAGCACCAGCAGCAGTAGTAAAAACTTAGTAGTAGAAGAAGTAGTAGTAATGCCATAAGCACCCGTGGTATGGCATTTCTTGTAGGAGAGTGCATCTGCCAAGCATGCATCGGAAGGAGAAAACAAATCCTGACATCAAAAAACATCCCGGCTTTACTAGGTGGAGGGCATACGTTCACGCAAGTACAACAGTCACACCTCCTGCAAAATCAGTCATTACCACAAGTGGTGGGGCACGCTAGCCTTCGCCACAAATATCAACTGCTCTATGTGTCTATGCCTATATGATATATTTATGTCTTGACATACTCCTGTATATTGTAACTATATACATGTAACTACCGTAGCTACCGTCTGTACAAAGACTTCCAATGGCTAAAAGCCACATGTCCTTGGCACAGCTGGGTCACAAGAGGGGCAGCAGGAAACACAAATAGATCCACCCGCGCATGCGATAACCTCCATGCGTGGTCGTCGTCTCCTTGTTGTACCTGAGACGCTCAAGTTCGAGGGAGGCACTACACCTTGAGAGCTCCAAATAACATTTTTGAAAAACGCCTTACAGAACAATTGTTTTGCCCAAGCAAGAAACAACAAGCAAAGGCAATGATTCCTATGCCCCGGGCCCCTGGCATAAACGCAACCCGTTTCATCAAGTCAGCAATTCTCGTCACCCCAGCCCTCCTGCTTCTCACCCAAATTGCCATGAACAATCAATTCAAACAGTAGGATTCCACTCTGACCCGTAGGCCACTCACCACTCCCCTGTGAAACACTCCGATGTGTATGATCAGATCCTTACAAGGATTGGTTCTGCTCACAGCAACTTCTCAAAACTGTGCTCATGCCAATGGCTGTCCTAGTAATCCAACCATTTCCTCAGTATGTAGTTGGAGGTTCCAAAGCTACTTCAAATACACTCAAGCAATGTAAGGGTTTTGAATTTTGGAGAGCTCACAAACCAAAACCAACGTTCTTCTTCTGTTTTGCACCTAGGACCTGACAACGCGCTGTGCGCCCCGCGTTTTGCGCCCCAGCGGCGCGCCGCGGTTCTCACCCACGTACTCCATTTGCGTCTTGCTGGCATATGCACCCCGGCCCTCACCGCTGTAGACCCACTGAGTGCTGGTCTGGGCGGTGTAGGGGTCCGCCTCCATGCAAATCTCATAGCAGTCCCTGTCCTGAGGACCGGAGTGTTTTGAAAGGGCCAATTTGAGACAGATGTCTCTGAAAAATCGAGAAGGGGCAACGAAAAGAACTTGCCACCCAACACTCTTGGGAACACCTAAACCCTAAACCCAAAGCTGTCCTGGTTCAGACATCTTCTGTCGCTCGCCAGATTTTTGGAAAAAAAAGACTGCACCAAAGGATGTGATGTTGGGTGGTGCATGATTCACCAACCCTACCTGGTTCCTTTGGCCTAGTAACCTGTCGCCTGAGTAAATTCATGACGACCATGTCCTGGTAACACAAAACTGACTGTGAGCACAGGGTCCAGCTTCTAGCTAGTATAGTGAAGACTTTTTCACCTGTTTGAGGGACAAACATCTCAAACTAATGGGCTCACTCTGGAAGCCCTATCGGTTAGTCACGCGCTTCTTTCAAAGGCCTTGCAGTACATCAGCCTAGCTTCGCACATGCTGCCGGAACAGTGGCCGAAGCGTTAAGTCAAGTCGGTCAAATCGTGTTGAGCCGAAATCCCTGAGACGAACAACTCAATTATATAAACAATTTACACTTTTGGTGGGCATTGAAAGGGTGCAGTGCTGCACAAACTACACAAAAGGGCTTAGCTTGGCATTGTCCGATACTTTTGTCATGTGCAAAGACAAGATAAGAATGAGAACCCAAACGGGCAAAGCTGGAGGGAAACATACAACCTTCGAGATCCTCTACACATCTCTGCTGTTATCTCCGTTTTCCTCTAAGGGCAACTTAGAGGTTAGAGGCACCGTCAAGGTCCATTATAATAATCTGTGGGGTCCTCCCTCTTGACGGGCACTGGCCTGGCGCCCCGGCCACGCCTTGACCCACAGTTGGAAGCTTCACAGAAACCTCAGAACAGGTGGATGATCATAACGCCTTTGGCTCAGCGCCTATGAGGAAAACGGTTGATGTCTAAGTTTGCCAAAAACTAGTCTTTCAACCTAGAACAAAACTTGGAGGGTTGTTCTTGTTGGACAGGCAACCACATAAGGCCTATAGGGTAGTAGATGGTACTACGAGTAGCATCTTCTAATGTACTATGCCATAGCGAGGCACCTGACCACGTATACGTCTTGGGTATGAAGCAAGTAAGTAATCACGCAGTGGCCTGCCTGGCAGGCATGAACCACATGACCCGTGCCACCATGTTTTGCCACTTTGCCGGAGAACTGAATTCATCGGATGAACAAGCCTAGGAGTAGGAAAAATGGACTTCGATATACATCGATGGAATGATGTCAGGCCGCCAGGCCTGGAATGAATCTGAGCTTCCCACCACTTGCTTCATGACAACTTCGGGTCCAGCGCCGGTTCCTCGGGCCACACGCGGACGGAACCCTAAACCCAGACCGGTCCGTGAGTTCGTCCGAGGAACACCGTGCCGAGTTGGGATCCCACCGGAATAGGCTTGAATGGGGTAGCCAGGCTACACAAGAAAACCTCATTGTATAGAGGATTGAGGCATCTTAAGGTCTACACGGCTTAACTATATAGATCAAAGATCGTTCCATAGGCAATTCTCTGAGGTTGAGTCTGAGATGACATCCCAATGTGTCTCCAAAGGGTGTTCTTCTTGCCCTGTGACCTTCTTCTTCTATTCATGGGAACCATTCGAAGGGTTTCTGCCGTCAAGTCACACAGCACATGGCGTGGGGAGAATCCCCCCGGCACCCTCTCCGGAGCAAGGGCGTTTGGTTTTTGAACCCACTGGCTGCGAAGCGCATGCACAAGGATAAAGAATTGTTCCTTGCAAGTGCGGGGATCCTCGTACGTCCATGAAGGGAGAGAAGATTGAGAGATCTCATTGATTTTGTTTCAGGGCATTAAGAGCCTCCGAATCGTCTGGTGCATTAGGGTTGATTAGCTTCAGTTGGCACTATTATTGGCATGCATTCGGTGCCTCTCTCGGTCTCTCTCTCTCTCTCTCTATCTCTTTCTCTCTACAATCGTGGACTGTGAGTCTGATTGAACAAATGGATGCCAGAGTCATCTTCCAGTTTCAACTACTCAAAATGCGCCCGCCAGGCTGGATGAGGTCCCTCATCTGCTCCAAGCGCATCTCAACCTCAATGAATTCACTTTGTGCGCGTCTGGGTTCGGGCATCACCTCCTCCACTTCTAATTACAATATATAATGAAAAACCTGCGCGGATACACTCCCGGTGGCTACTCAGATATACTCACTCACAAAGACAAGGACAGATCAATGAAATTAATCGAAACTATATAACGGTTTTTTACTTCATTGTAGTCTTCAGCTTGTTCATTGTCATTGTCCGTATTTTCCTTGCTAGTCTCCGATGGGGTCGTCACTGTTACAGTTGGAACATTCAAATCGTGCTGCTGTGTGAGTCACAATTCAAGCGAGATATACAGTGATTTACTGGGATGTATACCCTAGCCACAAACAATGCGCTCTGAGCGATCAGGGCGTAAGAGAGAGAGAGAGAGGTGACTCTCATCATCTCGTATCCATAGGCCTGCTGCCCAACGGGCCTATATCATCCCATGGTTGTCCTCAAAATGGCCGCTTTTCCCACAAGGCCAGGACAGTTTGATGCTCATATCCGCCCATCAGTTGGAGCATGACCATGCATGATGCGGCATGCATGACCGGCTCAAAGCATTGGGTGCACCAAAAACCCAACGGTGCGGCGGCTCGGCACGGTGCGGCGGCTCGGTGGCTCCGTTTCTTTTTCCCCTGAAGATCTGGACAGTACAAGTATGCGGCCTGCCTTGGACCACCCCCCTACTCCCACCCACCCTCAAATAATTTAGAATTAATTTTAAGTGGTTAGACCCACCAAGGATGAATATTATGTTGAGGGTATCTGACTGGTTGAATTAAATTCCAGCTATGTTAACAAGACCACCTCAAACAGGGGTGGTTGACTGTCTACTGATGCTTTCATTGACTGTATATTGAACTCTCCTTCACCTAATTGTTTTTCCTAAATAATGTTGACTATCAGAAGTGATGTTAACACAGTCACCACCCTGTACCATCCTGTACCCACTTGTGCCAAATAATGTATTGAAATATTATTTCTGACAAAATATATTAGGTGGTGACCCCACCCTCAAATATTATATTATGGGTACATGTACAAGTGGTCCCTGAAACAGACACGGTCCACGGTCTGAATGTTTGACTTGGTCTAAAAAGACCAAGTGACTCCCCAAATAGATGATTGATTAGATTGATTGATTGAAACATGCTTTACACACTAGTTACGTAATAAACATTGTTATTGGAACATCCTCTCTATGACTCTGTGAGTTGCCATGGCCATCTGTTCTATCGACTCGGCTTCCGGGCTGCTCTCACCTTGGCTTGGCGTATCTCCTTGATGAGCTGATCCTGCCGAAATATGTGCAGGGAAAGGAACATGAGCCAGGTGAGCACACACGTGAGATGGGAACAAAACAAGTACGGAGCCCATTTGTTTATGGGGCATGCCAGTTCATGTGATGCTCATCTGTGATGCTTCTGAGTGCGTAGTCTTGTCTTGAACCACAACGGTCTTCATATCTTGCTCGTAAATAGTCACTCACTGGGCACAATGACTTTGTTCTCCTGCATGGCCGCCGAACGCCTCCCATTCGACCCTCTTGGCCTCCAACGGCCCATCTCCATCAAGCAAAGCCTGCCACACGTTGCTTGGCCATCGCATGGATGCTTGGCTGGGTTCTTTGGTGGATCAGTCGATTCTGACTGCCGAGCCATTCCTGGAAAATAAAGGCTGTAGTGGTTTCAGAATGTTTCAGAGGAGGTGGCGCAACCCCAAAGATCTCTTTTTTTGGATGGAGGTCCATATAAGTTACCTTTGGGGGATTGTGCCATCTATACTCTGAAACCAGTGCACTGCGTGTATGTGCTTTATTTAAATGAATCCACCTGGTCACCTGTTCGCTTTTTTGTCGGGAGAAGGTTTTGCCGGTGATCCAGGGCCGGGCACGACTTGATGTTGCGGTTCGTTTGGTTTGCATGGTTGGTGTGTTCGGGTTCCATGGCTGGTTTCTTGCGTGCTCCCGCTGTCGGCCAGTTGAGGTGTGCGCGATGGCCGGCCTGCAGGGGTTGCGTCCCGCGCCTTGCATCATTTCTGAGCTTGTTTGTCAATTTTTTCTTGGCAAGAGAGTTTCAGGCCAATGGCTACGGAGACCCTGAAGTCACGTAGGATGGGCATGGGTCATGCAATCTAAAAGGTTCCTCCATGATCCTCCATGAATCTTCTTCAGGGAGTCTTGGAGGTTTCTGTCTGGTTGCAAATGTGGCTTTGACAACAGCTGGGGCAGGTGAAGGCGCCAAGTCCAAGAAACATGGCCTGCATGTACACCGAGCGCCAGGTATGGAAGGCGTGTCCTCCAGGTCTGGATGCACACGGCTTTGGACGGTGCCAGGGAGTTGGTCATCCAGTGCACTTGCAGAGCTTCGTGCATGCAGTTGCTGCCGACGTTGCAAATGCTGGCGATGGTTATTTGCTTTCAACTGGCATGTAGCTCGGCCTCTTTGCGCCTGCTTTGCTGAATGGCAATGAGTGCGCGCGTAGAGGCCCAGTGATCAGTGGTTGAGGTTTGGCAGTTTGGCCGCTCAAACCGGCAGCTGCCAGCCTTTGCCTCCCATCTCGCCATCTTGGAGGTGGATTTCTCCACTAATTTTGACGCATCTCGCCACCGGCTGAGATGCGGCGCATGGATGCATGCCCCTCACTAAACCAAGGATCGACCAATCCAGCATTGAAAGGAAAAGGTTCGTTCGATTCAAACTTCACACGCAGCTGAGCGATCTATTTTTATTTTCTTGCAAGAAAGTGTAATTATGCCATAGTCTGCCGTAGTCATAGATGTGGGAGCAGTTTTGAAACAGAACCAAGCAAGCACAACCAAGCAAGCACAACCAAGTGCCCCATGTGATCTGTGCTGTCAGCGCCCGACGAGAATCGAAACCACCTCGTCCCCCTAAGGGAACACAAAAGCTCCCACAGGCTCCCATATAGATTCTAAAGTAGACTTAATACTCACTGCCATAGAGGGATAAAGTAACTCACACATACTCACACCCTTTCACGGATTCGGAAACTAGGATTTGGAAACTAGAAGGAGCTGGCTGGGATCCGGCTAGTTTCTGAATTGTGCGAGTTTCTGAATTGGAGCCAGTTTCTAAATCGTCTTCTGTTCTAGCTGAAGCCATGTCTTGGTCTGCACTTCCAAAGCTGCCTCAGAGATGGGTTCGACTTCCAAGTGGACCCTCTGGACCTGGGCGTTTCGGCCGTCAACGAGAGCATATCGCTTTCGAAGCTCCGGATTCAAAGGCGAGGAGTTTCGAGAAGCTTCCGTCGATGTTCGAGAAATGAATGAAGTGGGTGATGCGGAATCTTGCGCTGCATATCGCCGGAGTCGTGTATTTTTCGGGTCGTCGCAGTATGTTCTTGCACATGATTGTGCTGAGGACCTTGAGCGTGGGCCATGTATACATGTGTGCCGCATCTGCTGATAAGTCTACGGGGCATTCAACCCAAAAATATATAAGCATCCACAGCAAATTGGTAGTAATCGAGGCCATGGTTGCAAACCCAGCCACCCTTCATTCTATGAGTCATACACTCCATTCTTGGAGCCTTATGGGAACGCCTATATAGTACTGTTTGTAACGCCTATATGGTACTGTACATTCTTACAAGGGAACAAACAGCCAAGGTAGGTGCTCGACGTCTTGAAGGCGAGGCGAGTCGTCACAAGCTGCGAGGACCTTGAGCGCCGTGCTAGAACCCGCAACTGTCCAATGTGCCTTAGGCCAGGCCGTCCGCATTGCGCGACCGTCCGCAGCATCAGCCGTCAAGTGGGGCCCAAACGCAGGCGGCAAACGCTCCAAACGATTCCCGGGTCGCGATTCCCCGACAAGCCCAGGTTTGGGGGAGTCATAGATTGACCCACACGATGGACTCCAACTCTCCAACATCATAGATTGGCCCTCCGTTCCCCAAAACAAACATGGAAGTGGACAAAGGTGTTCTGTTCTTGAAGGGGCATAACTATATGTATATATATACCCAAGGGCTCCCGGATACCTTCTCAGAGGGTGTCTGGAGTCCGGG